GAGAAGGACCTTATTTGTTTTCTTCCGGGCATGTGGAAGTTGGTCGCACTACATCCTGATCTATAAGCTCGAACGCTGATATGGCACGATGGTACGCACATGACCCTTCTGTTGCAGGCATATTACAGTTTCATATAGAGTTCTCCTGATGTCAGTGAATTCTAAGCCCAAGTCTTCGAGTCTTTGGTTGGAGAATCTGTACGGGTTTGCCATGGACTTGTCGTTCTCTTCACACCTGTTGAGGTAGAAATCGGTAGTCGGTACAGTTATAGATATGGACACGCATATGCAGAAGGTTGATATTTCATTCAGAGTAAACGAACATACTTGGAAGTGATAGGATAGTGTGGAAAAAGACCCCTGATCAACTGGAGGAGGCAACTGCGGTGTAGTGCCGTGCCGAAGCAGAGGTAGCGGCCGCGGGCGTGGTGGTGCTCGTAGACAAGAAGATGGGCATGTACGACGTCGCGGACATCTGTGTAGATGGCAACAGCGTTGGGGTAGGCCTTCTTAGTACCCATTAGGTACCTTGCGACATGGTAATTGCTGGCATTTAAAGACCGTTGCAGCATGGGACCGATGGTCATTGGCGGCACCACAACCGCCAGCTGCAGCCCCCTCCTAGTTGCCTCCTCCGTTGCTGCCATCTCTGCCATCATCTTGGCACAACAATAATAGTTCTGCACAATGAAATTGTTAGATTCCTAAGACGACACGCACTGTTTGTTTCATACTCCCTCCATCCAAAATTACTTGTCGCAGAAATGGATGCATCTAGAACTAAAATACGTCTAGATACATCCATTTCCGTGGCAAGTAATTCCGGACCGAGGGACTACATGCGTATTATGTTTGGAAATCAGCTTCGGGCCATTGCTTTTGAGCTCCTTATATCCTTGATCAATTCGCCTTTCCTATCGGTTTGGGTCTTTGGGAGGTCTTGGGTTTGACCTGATCGCGCATATTTTATTTTAGTTTTTGTTAAAAAGTTTGACTTCCGGGTGCCGCAAATTAATTGGTAACAATGTGCAAAAACAAACTGTTGAATTGGGAACAAACACTGGACCTGCCAAAAGATATGCATAGCAAGTTTCTAAGACGCTATGAGGGCCTTTTGGTATCACTTGCATTTAGAGATACTATACTAGTATATTCTTTTCAGACAGTTTCGAAAACGTCAAGTTTCCGTTTGGGATTCAGTTAAAAATGGTTGACTTTCGCCGAAATCCATCTGTTTTGGTGTTTTTTAAAATAAAGAAAAGATCAGGGGTGGCCGGTAAGAATCTATTTCAGCTGATTGCTCATCATTATTATGATTTGTGGATTGAGTTCCAAACATTGTTCTTTTTATTTTTATACATGGCTGTTTTTTTCACTTTAATTTAGTTTTTTGTGCTTAAATATTATTGCAATGAATGTTAGGTCGCTCCAGAAATATCATACGCCTGTCTGTTTGCAGAATTCATAGTCGCTCCAGCATGTCTCGTCCAAGATGGTGTCGGGGCTTCTGTTGGGGTTCATGTGCACTGTGCCGTACGAAGAAGTGTAAACAAGGCGGCGGATGCCCATGTCCGCCGCCGCGTTCACCACGTTTCTGGTTCCCTCCACGGCGACTGGCATGAGTTCCTACACAGAGCCCCGCGGCCGAGAACAGGCAGCTAGCATTAATTATGTACTCCCTCCGTTCGGAATTACTTGTCGCAGTAGTGGATGTATCTAGACGTATTTTAGTTCTAGATACATCCATTTTCGAGACAAGTAATTCCGAACGGAGGGAGTATATGATAATTACGTATATATGCTGCAAAATAGCAAGTGAACTGACAACATCGTTGGACACCGGAGAGGCAACATGGAAGACACCATTGCAGCCATCGAAGGCGGCACGGAGGCTGTCGTAGTCCAGGACGTCGGCGCGGCGCAAGGATAGCCTCTCATCGGCTCCCTCCAAGGTATGCAAGTGGATGTTCTTGCGGTCCGCTTCACATGATTGATGCACGACGCCAAGCAAGTGATGGACTAGCAAAGGTAACTAGCTAGGAGGTATATATGCAAGATGCATGTGCTTAGAGGTACCTGGGTCTCTAGCGGTTCCCCTGACACGGTAGCCACGGTGGAGGAGCTCCTTCACCACCCATGACCCAATGAAGCCCCCTGCCCCCGTCACACAAACTAGCTCCTGCGTTCGCTGCTTATCAGCGCTGCTGTTATTGGCCATGGAATCGATTTCTGGCTGTAACTTGCAACACTGAGAGAGACTAAATTGATTCTCTTTCCTGCTACGTACACAAACTTTCCTTGTGGGTTGCCGTGTATTTATAATGCAATGCATGCTTATACCTGGCCTGGGTCTCTATCTAATAACTTCTTAAAAAAGTTATGGCTGTGTGCATAGCCGAGGGTATTCCTCTCTTTTCGGAAAACAAATTCTAACTATAAAAATAAGCTAGGCAAGTGGGGCCTAGTGCTATATAAATACCTAGATACATCAGCAACCGGAGAACAATCAGAAGTTAATTAAGCACATATATACTACCAAAAGTAGAGTCATGGAGCCTAACATGGGGCAAGCCCTGGCTGCCGTCCTCATACTGCTGGTGACCACGAGAGCACTATGGTATCTGCTTTGGAGGCCATATGCTGTGGCCAGGTGGTTCGGGCGGCAGGGCATCCAAGGTCCGCCTTACAGGTTCCTGGTTGGGTCCCTGCCGGAGTGCCAAACGATGCTGGTCGCCGGGAGAGCCAAGGCTCTGGACACCAGCTCCCACGACTGCATCACCACTGTGCAACCCTTCTTCCGGAAATGGGCCTCCCAGTATGGTAATGAACTAATTGAATGTCTGTACCCAGATCGTTATGGTGTGTAGTATAAAATATAATCACATGTATGTGCTGTGCAATTAATCAGGGAAAACATTCCTGTACTGGTTGGGGCCGACACCAGCCCTGTGTTGTACTGACATGGAGCTTGTGAAGCAAATGTTCAGCGACAGGACAGACGTGTTTCAAAAAGAATACTTGAATCCGAGCCTGGACTCAATTCTAGGGAACGGGGTCATATTTGCAAACGGAGACGACTGGAAGCGACGCCGCAAATTCGTCCACCCGACTTTCAACCAGGAGACGATCAAGGTTACTACTTACTAAATTTTCTATATCAATTTTTTAGTGGATCGGAAGAGAACATTACATGCGTTTGAATGTTCGCTGGCTATTGGGGTCCAATATTATGTACTCCCTCCGTCTCATAATATAATAGTTAATAAGCTCGGCCACTTTGGCATACACTTGTAACGTATGGTTATGTTGCTATATATATTGTTGTTCTTCCGAGCTAGCTACATACTCTGTATACAGTGGCGGAGCTTGCCAAAAAAAGCTGGGCGGGCTGAATGGGCCAGGCTGCAAGGAATTACTACTAGCTGGCATTCTACAACCCATGGGCTAGCTATATTGTGAGAAAAAGCTGCAGAGCTGGGCGGGCCATGGCCCATTTGGCCTTGCCTAAGCTCCGCCAGTGTCTGTATATGAACTTGTATGATGTGATATGTATGCAATTTGAAACCTTTTTTTAAGCACCGGACCGTACAACAACTGTTACAATGAGTGGAGCAGAAAGAACCACTCCTGCAGACAAACAACATGTTTGTCTCTGATCTTGAACTAAGCAGAATAAAATCCTCTTTAAGAGCATATCTCCAGTTATGAATGGAACGACTTGATTATACTTGTGAATGCAATTTGAAACTTTATGGCATGTACTTGTGATGTATGCATGGTTATATAGCGCATTATCCTTGAATGGTACTACATGTATGATTACAACTCACTACAAAAACCTCAACCATATACAGTTTGGATAATTTAAACGAATACCCAAACATACGTGATAACTATGGGTGCATAACACATTAGCACCAATGTTGTCATAGAGTAACACCAGAAGATGACCCTATGAGATGTGGAGATCCTCAATAAGGACTGAAACCATATCAGTTCCACAGTCCCATGGTGCCGATTCTCAGTCCACATCCAAGAAAGTGGAGTGTAGGGTGAGGGAAGATGAAAGATGTAACGCATGAGTAGCTGTGAATAGAATAACGCCAACGATGTGCTTTATGTACCGCGTGGACCACCCCATGGGAGCGGTGAAGGCTCCCAGCATTGGTGAAAAAAAAAACCACAACCCCTTGGGTTATCTTGCGCTTGGAAACGTGGCCAATGAGCACTCCGAGGAGATTGAAGGTACCCCCAAACTTTGTTAACCCAAAACGGAAGGTCAAGTAGTGGAGACAACAAACCCATGATCTCAAAGAGCAGCCCCAAGGCATATATGACATGCACGAGGTACTTGTTTAAGGCCTTAGATTTTTTTCCCAGAGGAGTTTACACTGGTGGAAAAAGGGCCTTTGGTCGCGGTTCGCAACTGCCATTAGTCGCGGTTGCGCAACCGCGACCGAACGGGCGCGACTAAAGGCCCCCCCCCCTTTAGTCGCGGTTGCTTAAGAACCGTGACTAAAGGCCCGTCCACGTGGGCGCCAGGTGGCCGTCGGGGCGGAGGACCTTTAGTCGCGGT